CCCCCGACATCGTCATTGGTTTGCAAAAATCTTCTCTCTGCTCGCAATCAGCCAGAAATTGTTACATCGATAATAGATAATGAGGTCAAAAAAGGTTTTCTAATTGGACCGTTTGTTTCACCACCTTTTGAGCACTACCGTTGTAGTCCAATAGGCATTGTGGACAAAAAATACTCCAATAAAAAGCGCCTAATTGTTGATCTTTCATCACCACATGATGCTGCAGACACACCAAGCATTAATGACTTGATTAATAAGGAGGATTTTTCTCTTTCGTATGTGACAATCGACGATGCCATTCTCGCAATTAACAAGGCTGGGAAAGGAGCTAAGTTATGCAAAACTGACATTGCAGATGCTTTCAAACTAATGCCAATTCATGCATCTTTGTGGCATCTCTATGGTATCCATTGGAACGAACAGTTTTACTTTTTTGTTCGCTTGGCCTTTGGATGCCGTTCTAGCCCAAAGATTTTTGACCAACTTTCAACAGCAGTATGTTGGATTGCAGAACACAATTATGGAGTCCAGACAATTTTTCACCTCCTGGATGATTTTCTTACTGTAGACTCTCCTTCATATGATGCAGAACGTACTATGGCTATTCTAACATTGCTATTTCACGACTTGGGATTCCGCTAGCCAAGCAAAAAACTGTGGGACCTTGTTGTAAACTTGAATATCTCGGGATCGAACTTGACACTACATATGCAGGCTCGTCTCCCAGAGGACAAACTTGCACGCATTCATGAGCTTCTTCAGACTTTTCTCAATCGCAGGACTTGTACAAAACGCGAAATCCTCAGTCTGCTAGGCCATTTGAACTTTGCATGCAGGGTCATAGTTCCTGGTCGTACATTTATCTCCCGACTAATTACCTTATCCAAAGGTGTTAAAAAACTCCATCATCATGTAACAATTACCAACGAAAGTAGACAAGACTTGCATATGTGGAATATACTTCTCTCAGACTGGAATGGAATTTCCATGTTTCTTGACACCAACACAACTTCAACGTCAATGCTTGAGCTTTTCACGGATGCCAGTCGTATTGGTTTTGGGGGCTATTTTCAGGGCCACTGGTTCCAAGACCGATGGACTGATAAACTCTTGCTGGAAAATGATCCATCCCTCTCAATCGCATTCCAAGAACTTTACCCCATTGTGGTAGCATGTATATTGTGGGGAAAACATTGGGCTCGTAAACGCATACTCTTCCATTGTGACAACATGGCAACTGTGCTTATAATAAACAAAGGAAGATCAAAATCGCCAGCAATAATGAAATT